ACATAGGAGCTTCATATTTTCTTTGGTTGTTTAGCTCTGATGAGGGGCTATCCATCAGGTCAACCAATGTGGGGGTCATTATGTTACCGCTATGCGGTATCTAGTTATTGTTTAGCCTTTTTTAATCTATTTGAAATAAGGGCTAGGAAAAAAAACTGATTATTACTACAAAACTGGCGACGTGACCTTTTCTCTTTTATCCATTTTCATCTCGAGCTGTTGCACTTATTTTCTCCTTTCACTCCACATCGTTCTTTTTTTTATTTTGAAGCAGTTACAAGTCATGAAACATGAAGCTGCTGCTGCGCATGCTCCTCCACAGGTTGTTGCTATCTTACCAAAGAGTGAGTGAGTTAGTTGATGCTACAAACCTTGCTGAGCTGAGCTATGAGAGGTTGAGCAGCTAAAGCCTTCCTTCCCCCAGAATGCCGTGTGGTTCTGGATCAGGCTTTAGGGAAATGTCAACATTTTATCKGACACATTTTCTAATAATATTGACCATGTGTCTATTGTGATATATACTGTTATTGTTTAAACCACCCAGCCCTAAAGACCAGTGCCCATTAATTACACAGACTAATGTGAACTGCTAAATGAGTGTAGTTCTGTGCGCAGGACACCACTGGTGCTGGAGCAGTAGAACTACTCAGCTACGAGAGACTTTGAAATTTTTTTTTTACCATTATTTCACCAAGCAAATCCCATTGAGATCAAAGATCTCTTTTGCAAGGGTGGACTGGGCCTGAAGGCAACCTATTGTAGATATTTTGACATGAAAGATATTTTATTGATATTGAAATGTATTTATTTTCTTAAATGCACAATAAATATACATTCATATTTTGATCCTTTCAAATGTTTTTATGATCAATGTGAAATCATTTGTCCAAATTATTGTGATTTTTTTACTGGGCTTTTAGAAAGTCTCAGAGTTCAAAAAGACTTTCGTTAATCCACGCCTGGAAGCAAACATTAAACACACCTAATGTTTTCATATCTCTGCAATGCAGGAACTGCTGTCTGAGAGTCAGGTAATAGGAATGGATGGGTTTAATCCAGGCTCTCAGACTGACTTTATTTCTTTCAGAGAGAACTGATGAAGAACAGAAACACCTCTTCTGTGAGGCGATAGAGCTGCTGCAGTTTGTGCAACAGGCTCTAAACTTCTACACTAGGAGCACCTTTATTTATGTGGAGTGCAAATATGAGTAAAAGGTTGTAAAATATTATTGTAATGAAGGAATATATGAAAGTAAATTGTAACTTTTTCCTCATATTTTTTAAAAGGCAGTTTAATATGTCAACAGAAGCCTAATTCCTTGTGAAAATATTTCCCCACAACAATCTGCAGAGAAGGAACAGTAAACGTCTGCAGCTAGTTTGTAATGTGGGAGCTGGAAGAGGGAGGAGGAAAAACATCACAGAGTCGCATGAAGCATCACATGCTCCAGATCTTTATAGACACAAAGAAAAGAGCAAAATTATGTTTCCAGGAAAAAAAGAGATTAAAAAAGACTAAAAAATAAATAAAATAAAAAAAACAAAAGAAGAAGGCCTTTGTGTTTACATCCTTTTATTAAATGTTTTGAACAGATATGATAAGTTTGTCCTAATGTGTAAATCAGGGGTCACCACACTTTGAGACTAGGAGCTAGCTACTTGGGGGTCCTGAGTAACATGAAGGGCTACTTGATACAAACATAAATTTGCATGGCTCATCTTTAATTATAGTATAATTTATAATAAATTTATACATGTAATATTTGACTCCCTGATTAAATCTCAGTGTTAATGACTCCTCGTAGTAATCAGAATTTACTGTGGTAGATATGATAAATTATTATTATTATTATTATTAATACGTAATTTAAACACTGTGCAGCAGCAGGGGGATCTGATTCTACAGTTCCCAGTTTGAAACCCTTTTTGAGCTCATCAATGTGACCGGTGTGTGGATAGTTGTTTGTGTTTTTGTCTGTGTCCCTGTGATGGTCTGAGATCAGAGAAAGGCTCCAGCTCCCACACTGACCCTGATTAGGAACAAGGAGGACAAAATGGATGGATTTTTTTATAGCAGAAAACACATATTTAAACATAAAACATTTTTATTTAATCTCTATTAACA